GAGAATACTGAGTTCTTTGCTTATTTCTCTTCTCTAAGTCAAGACACTTCTAGAGAGTTAAATGACATCAGATTGTATTTCTAGATTTTAGCATAAGTCCTTCAAACTTCTTGACATGTATAGACAAGGTTCTCTGCCCCATACAAGTTATCTCTAACTATCAATAAGCAGAGAAGCTCATAGTGAATATTTGAGTCCAAAGCTAATCCAACCAATTTGTGAACTGACCAACTAAACAGATCTTAGTAATGGATAATAAAGGAATAGTATATGGAGCAATTGGGGAGACATGCAAGCCTAGGCATAGTCTAACATCGCTGTGGGCTATTTTTATATGATGAATTGCCTACTTGAATCATAATATTTAAGTTCTAATGCATTCTGTAAATATTTTTCCACACTGATGCATAATGTTCTAAAGTTTTGCCTCATCCTTACCAGGTAAGTTTGGAAGCATTTCTAAGAAAATTATCTATGACAGTATCTTGTTTGTTTAGAGGGAGAAGAATCATAAACAATGTTGAAGTTATTTGAATAAAAGCTAAGAAATTATCAAATGTTTAGTTCTTCCATCAAAAGACAATAGCACTTTTGTAGTTACTATACGTCCCATAAAAATAAGTACACACTTACTTTTTCTCTGTTGATATATCGTAGGGTATACCAGTAAGATAACTTTAAATAAATGCTCAGAAGAAAATGTTGAAGACAGTAAACAGGTAGACTGTCACTCAAGTATACAGAAATTATCCAGGTATGTTGGCACACATCAGCAATCCCAGCACTCATAAGGCTGAGGTAGGAGGATCGTTGTGAGTTTGAGACCATCCTGGGTTACAAAGTGAGCTCAAGGCCAGCCTGACTGCATAGCGAGACACAGTCTCAAAGAGTAAAAAAAAAAAGAAAAAAGAAAAAAGGAAAGGAAGAAAATTACAGATAAGTTAAATGCTTAGGCAATTTAAAATTTTGTGCCTTGACTATTTATAAGCTGTGCAATTATTTCACATTATTATCCTTGGCAACGTTCATTCCATCTTAGCACTAGGTAGGCCCACTGCCTCCATATTATGAATCTTTGTTAAAACTTTTATAGTTATTAAAATCATGATTGCCTGTTATTTTCAAAACTGAAAGACCTTTCCTATTCATAAATTTAAATACCACTGAATGTTAAAAGCATAAACAATGGAGAAAGCTAGAGATAAAAGTCTCTTAACCAGAAGATATGATGTAGTTTCTAGGTATGAGGTCACCCTATATTTAGTAGACCTCTTCTTTACAGAGCGGATGTAAGTCAAACATGCAAAAAAAGACGATAATGCCTCTGACATCTCTGCTACAAACATCAGAGGAGAGTCAATGATATCTTCAGCTTGGAGAGCCTATCACTTCTTTGTGTAGGTGCTGGTTTGTGTTTGGCAGGTTTATCAGAATCTTTCTTTGAGGACTTGGAGAAGACAGGAATCATACCCACCAGTTCCTAGAAAGCAAGGAAGTAACAAAAGGAAGTAGTTAGTCTTCCTCCCACGAAGAAGACTCTCAAAAATTATGCTTGCAATATTTTTACATAGAAACAGTTCAATCCAGTAATTCTGAAAAAAACCTTTTAGATCTGAGTGCCTTCTTCTTCTTCTTCTTTTTTTTTTTTTTTTTTTTTTTTTTCAGAACTGGAGATTGAACTTAGACCCTTGTGCTTGCCAGGGAACTGCTTATTCTACTGAGCCATCTCCCCTGCCCCTAAGTTTATGCTTTGATATGTAAATAATGGGTACCTAAGTTTTCTAACTGCAATTAATAAATAACCTTTCAGGAGCCACATTTTGTTAATGGTAATTTTGTAAAAATGTCAGAAATAAATTGTCTGAGATCTCTTTGTGAATTAATCACACTGTTTTAAAATAAAAAACATGATCCATATTTTGTAAATTTTTCTTTTATTAATATTTCATCAAAGAATAATTATACATAAATCTGTTATCAGCTGAACAGAAATTTTTTAAAGTTCATTTGAGTCCTAGCATAGTATGATATTATATGATCTTTGTGACCATTTTTATGTAAAGCTAGAAATTCTATGCCAAATTATGGAAGGTAACTGCATGGTAAACTTCCTTTCACTGAACAGCATGTAGCTTGATGAGGAGAAAGTCATCAGGTTCTCCCATGAAGCTCCATGTGAATTTTATTGACTCTAGAACTGTTCCTTTCTTCTACATGTAAGGTCTTACTTTCTAAATATTTTACTAAGCACCTTCTAGTCACAATAGGAATGCAAATTTTTCAGGGAGAATAATATGTAAATATTATAATTTCAAAAATAATGTTATAACTTGACCCTAAAAATTCAATTTGAAAGTCATTCCTTTTAACAGATATATATATATATATATATATATATATATATATACATATATATTCTTTTTTATTAATTTTATTGAGAAAAAGCAATGAGACAGTTTCAAAACCGATTAATAGGACAGGTTCAATAATTAATACACTGCATAATGTTATCTTCTTAGTGGTTATTCATAGTACAACATGAAGACATGGTATCCTGTCCAAATCTTTCTTCTCACTGAATTAAGAGAAAGTAGCTGTATGTCTACCCTATTTTTCATAAACAAATACAAAATGTCCTTCCTTTGTATTCCCTTTTTTGTTTAGCTTTGTTAGATGTAGCTATTTCATTGCCATTTAAATATTGTAGGTGTGTGAATTCAGCAAAATCATCCAGTATAATCCAGTAATACATAATAGTAGTGGGTTCTCCACAGGACTAACAATATCAGAAATTGTTGAATTGAGCCTTTTGCAGCTCAGCACATTAATATGGGTTTACTTTTTATACCTTGTTTTTATACTTTTCTGCTGGATGGTTAAGACCAAGATAAAGCAAGCCCTACATAACAAGAACTGCAACTTTTGTATCTGATAAGGTCAGTCAAGTCCCCTCAGGATTTATCCTGGAACCCTGTATTTCAGTTTGTAGATCCTTTGTCAGTGTTAGCCATGTGGATGAGTCACGGACATTGCTTGGCCAATTTGCTCTTTGTGAAAGCTTGAGAGAATATTTTCTCTCCCTGTGACTCTCCTTAGGTACACTTTACATCATCAATCATGTTGATCTGTGGCCCCATAATCTCCTTGATCATAAAATTGGGGGCACAACTGAGTTACATAATGTTACAGTATAGGTTCTCCTATGTCCTGAGTCTTCACTGAGCTTGAAAGGCTAGGGCCAAAGTGTTGGCTAGCCTTGCAGCCCTTCTTTTTCTCTAATTTGTGGTCTGAAAACTTAGGTCGTTAACCCTCCAGGAGAAAAGTTTATTGTTACCTTACATATATATTCCTTATGCTATATGTTTGTACTTTTCAACTTACTAGAGAGGAGGACACCATTTTAGAGGGAATTTTTGGTATTAGTAGATGCAGAAATTTTTGGTTTGTTCTCACTGTGAACTATGAATATGTATATATCTATCTATGGGGTAATTAATGTCAATGTACATTAATCAAAGTGTCACCCAAAATGTTTGTAAATTTTTTTTCAATTAACTAAAATTTTCTATATGTGAATAACATCTTTATTAATTTCATAGCAGTTATTTTTTAAAATTTATTTAGTTAAACCATAATGTATTATTTCATGACCCTCTATATACTATTGCAACATTAATTTTATGTCTCATTTCCAGTTCATTCATCTAAAAGTATGAATCACCTTAATATGATTGCTATTACCAAAGATTGAAATGATATAAAATATAAAGCTTCTTTGAAATGTTTTATGCTGTGATGTAATCTGGCCTTTGAAATTTGCAATAAAGAATTTGACATGTTAACTTTGTTAAATCGGTTTGAATAAAATTGATCATATTTATTTTTAAAATGTACTGGTAACGTGACTCCTTATTGCTGTCAGTATAATCACTTGGAAACAGTTGACTTTTGTTAGATACAAATTTCAGTTCTCAGTAAGAAATGTCCCCCAGTTATAATCAGAGATGGTGTTCTTGCTAACCTATTTTTTATGAAAACTAGTGCCTGCAAGTTGGCTGTACATGCTATTATAAGAACAATAAGTCTTTTTTTTTGTGCTACATATTGTTTCAAACAATTTGGCATACCAGTTGTCTGAATTTACTTTCATTCATTTAAAATATTCAAAGGGCTCAGAATTGAAAGATCTCTAGGAAATAGTAGTACCACTTCTTCCTTCTTGCTTTTGTTTGTTATAGGAAATCCATTAAAGCTGAAAGTTTTGCTCCCCTACAGGTTTGGGATGAAAACCTTGCAAAATCTGCAGAGGCTTGGGCAGCGACTTGCATTTGGGACCACGGACCTTCTTACTTGCTGCGATTTTTGGGCCAAAATCTATCTGTACGAACTGGAAGGTAGGAGCCAATTTCACACCGATGCAGTTTATCTATGTGACTAGTAGGACTCT